ACCTCGTCCTAGCACTTAGCCCCCAGCTCCCCCACAGCTGCCTCCCTCTCCAGTCTTGGCCCAGGTGCTGTCCCCCTGTCATCCTCCATGAGGGAAGCAAGTTCGTCCACTCAGGGCACGAACTTCAACTTATAATTAGGTGTCCCTGTGTTTCATTCACTCCCCCAGTAGACTGCTGCACCAGTCACCTTCCCACTCACGATGAGATACCTGACCGCATAAACTGAAAAGAAGAGGTTTCTTTTGGTTCAGAGGTCCCGGTCCGAGGCCGAAACATGGCGGAAGGCACAATGGAGGGCTGCAGAGAGCAGGGAGGAGCCAGAGGAAGAGAAGGAGAAGGTGCCTTTGAAAGCATGCCCCCCACATCGCCCATTTCCCCAAACCGGGCCCCATCCGAAGAGCCTGTTTGGTGAACAGTATTAATACACTGATCCACTGAGGAAGCCAGGACCCTCACGGTGCCCTTGCCTCTCCCAGCTCCATCTCTGCCTGGAGAACCAAGGCTTCAGCACATGAGTCCTTACGGGGACAATTCATATTTAAACCAGGACACCCGTCCTCTACTGAACCTTCACCGCCTCCCCATTAGACTGCAAGCCAGCTCAGAGTGTTAGGGACTGAACACGTTAATCTGCCAACATTCATATGTTGAAGCTCTAAAACCCCAAGGTGGTTGTATTTGAAAGTACAGCAACTAAAGAAGCAGTTAAAGTTATGTGAGGCCAGAGGGTGAGGCCCTGATCTGATAGATTAGTGTCCTTAGAAGAAGAGACATTTGGTTAGAAAGGCACCCCCTGTCATGTGCTTGCACCAAGGAAAGGCCACGGACAGAGGGAGAAGCCCGGAAAGGGGCCTTCCCCAGAACCGAGCCCACAGAGCTCTGCCTGGGCGTTCCAGCCTCCAGAACCATGACAGAGGAACTATGTGTCGTTGAGACACCAGCCGAAGGCACTGTTTATGGAGCTGTAGCAGACGAAGTCGCTGCCCCACTCCTGCCATGGCTGGGGTCACTGAGGGTTGCTGTAGCGAACCAGTGAATCTTCCCATTCATCTTGCAGTGCCGAGCTCTAAGAAGTGCTGAAGGCAATGGGCTCAGAACTCCAGAGTCCTGGGCCGTGTCCCGGTCCCAGCCCCACCCTCAAATCCGGCTCCTTCACCGCGCCCCTTCCCCTGCCCGGCCTCGGTTGCCCAGTCTCAAGCCCCCGAAGCTCCCTCTGGTGGTAAGATGGTCTGGTGACCGCTGGGGATGCTGCCTGGGACCCGGGAGCCACGCTGGGTCCTTTTCTCCGCACTCATCGCTGCCCACAGACCCGTCCATCACCATTTCACAGTCGAGTAACCGTGTCAGGGGGTTAGATGATCGCAAAAGGGGTGAGGAAGGTAACCACGAGACGTGGCCTTTATCCTGAGGGTGTGTCTTCCCTGCTTGAGGGGACTGGAATGGTCCGACTTGTAGAAAGTCATGGTGACACTGTAAAGGACCTTTCAGAGGGAAACGGGAGCTTGGCCTTCTGTGCCAGTCCCTAGAAGTTATCTGGAAATTGACCGGTGCCCGAAATGCCAAAGTCCAGAAGCACATACACAGGGCAAGCGGAAGGGATTCTAACTCTGGGTAGTGTGTACCATGCACTGCGTGGGAGAGGACCAGAGATGGCGGCTGCAGCTTCGGAGCAGGTTCCTGGGGGTCTGGTGCTGGAGCTGAAGCTCCACCTCTGACCAGACGGGACCCTGTGAGGCGCGCTCGGGGCGCTGGGAGCCTTCGCTGCTGCCTTGTAGATGGGAAAGGACAGGCCCAGCTAGTGTGACACACGCACAGCGGTGCTTGCTGCCTGCCTGGTGGCCTCAACGCCTAGGGTTGTTATCACTCCAAGTGGGTGCAGGGCTCCGGGGAGGCTCATGGGGGACAGGGCCGGAGTGATGGGTTCCCCCAGGGGAATGTCTGTTCAGCTTTCTGCCTTGGTTCTCTAATTCTAATTTTAAAAGATTTATTGCGGCACTGTTCACAATAGGCAAGGCAGAGAAGCAATTGAGGTGTCTACGATGAATTTATGACTAAAGGCGTCGAGGGAGGTGTACTGAGTGAAATACTGGTTGGCCACAAAAGGGATGAAATCTGTTGTTGGTGGCAACAGGCTGATGTTAAGTGAAGGCAGCCAGGCACAGAAAGACAAACGTCACACAATTTCTTTCTTAGGCAGACTCTTAAAAACCTGAACAGAAGTAGAGAGCAGAAGGGTGGTTACCAAGGGTGGGCAGGGGAGGGGAGAGGGACCAGGGAGAGACTGGTTAGCAGGTCCAGAGCCGGACCCGGGCGGGAGGGAGAACTCTGGTTCACTTCCACAGAAATGATGAGAGCCAGCACTGCTGTGTAATCTGCCTAGAAGAGGGAATGCGGAGTTATTTACCGTTACTAGTGCATGCTGGCAATATGGGTCGGGAAGTTCACTTTGGTAAGCTGGTGTGCACATTTAACAGATTTGATCTCTTTCTCTCCTATGACCCTTTTTTTCCCACTTCTGATCCCCTTTCCTGTCTCCAAAAGTCACCCCTGTTTTTTTTTATCATCTCTCCTTTGTATTCATTTATTTGATCCTATAAGAATAAATATGCAGAATTTAACTTTCTGAGTCTGTTTTGTTTCACTCAGCATGCTGGTTTCCAGTTCCATCCGTTTTTATGCAAATGACAATTTGTTTTTCGTTATGACAGTAATACTGTGTGAATACACCACATCCACAAGAGAGGATCTTGACTTTCTCGCGACAAAGAAGTAAGAAATGTTTGAGATGATAACTGACCTAAATACGCTGACTTGATCAGCAGGCCATGGATAAATATGAAAACCTCACATCCTACTCCATGGAAGTATAATTATTATTATCGGTCGGTGTAAATGCTGGGGGAGAGACACTGTGGTGTGCTCAGTGGTACAGCACCTGCCTAGCATGCTGAAGGCCCTGGGTTCAGCCCCTGGCATCCCCAAAGCATGGGCATGGGCAACTCGTCCCGCCCCGCCGGAAGTGAAGCCCACATTTTGGCCAGTATCAGAGTCACCTGGAGAATCTGACAAATCCTCAAGGCTCCGTGCCACTGCAAGTCTCAGGCTGTTACTATCTCCCCAGCTGACTTTTCATATATGCCGAATTTCAAAACTATCACAAAACGATGAGAGGAATAGGCTCCTCGGTAAGTCCACAGGGTCAGGCAAATGACCACCACTATTTAGATATCCTTTGTCCCACTTTCTGCAGAACTGTCAGGGGTGCACGCTGTCCTCACCCATTGCTCAGCCCGCCCAAGGTGAGCTGAGCCTGCACCCCTGCTTCACACAGGGCCCCGCCCTGGTCCCCCAGTCCTCGGCCCTGGGAAGTTACCTACACCCTTGCACTCGCTTCACAGAGCCCTTTCCGGCATCACAGTGGGGGACCCTCGGCTGCAGAGGCCAAGCGATGTTGGAAGGGCTGATTTTGGAGCCTCCACCCTAGGAGAAGCCCTCCTGCCAGCTGAGCAGCGGCTACGGCCCCAGCCCTGCCCCGGCAAGGTCACTTTTGCTGATGATGTCTAGGTAGAGCCCCAGCAGCCTCTCTCCTTCCTGACCTGGTGAGGAAAGCACAGTCCGATTCACTTGCAAACCTCACAAGCGCCATGACAGCTCCACTGTACTGGACACATTGCTCAAGCTGAAACAACTTCCATCAGTGAAAAGGATCTAAAATTAGGCTCAAACTGTGGACCCACAATGGCAGGATACAGAACACAGACACTACTGGAAAGCCAGGACTAGCCCCTCAGCACAGTGCCAGATGAGGGAACAAGGGACAGACGTTTCTCAAACCACAGCAAGTGCTTCTGAAGAGTAGGGCCAGCATTTAAACCCAAATGGCTGGAGTTTGCGGTCCGGCAGGTACCGGCTGTCACCTTTGGCCAGCTCTTCTACGCCTCTCTGAGCCTCAGTTTCCACATCTGCAAAAATGATGTAACGATGCCACTCAGAAAGTAGCTAGGATTGGGGAGCCAGGAGCTCATACCACTGGGTTTGTCAGGAGGAGCAATTAGGGAAAGGGAGAGTATCCTTTAAGAAAGAACAACAAATGTAAAATTGCACCCGAGACCTGCCACAGAGCCTCGTGGCAGGGAGCGGCCGAGAACTCCGCGCTAGACCTACCACTTAAAAGTGAGAGGGTTTCAGTAAAGCTTCTGGCACACAGGAAGCCTTCAGTGAAAGTCAGGCTTGGGAACTAGATGGTGGAAGAAGAGTGCAGTAAGGCTGGAGAAAAATGCTGTAGTTTCGTGGGGAGAGGAAATTTTGGTTTACTCATTTGCCCCGAGCAGAGATAATGACAGAGAAAGGATCTCAGAGAAATGCTAAAAGGACTTCTTCAACCACAGACCTCTGTCCTCAAAGTCAGAAGTAATTTTTAGCAGGCCACACCTTCTCCTGCAGCCACATCTCGCCCAATAAAGTGCCACTGGGAACTGTCCGATCTCTGCCTCTTTCTCCTGCCGGAAGAGCCCTGTCTCCTCGCCACGGCACAGTACACAGGCGAAGCATAGTTAGGAGAGCCAGTGCCTCTTCGTTTTCCTTTCAGCTTTGGGAAGGGCAGCTCCCAGGTGGAAGACTTTAGAGCAGACGACTGGGCTGGCCCAGGACCATGAGACGCACAAAGAGGGATCCACAGCTGTTTTCTTGGGGGCAGAGACAGGATATTAGTTCAGAACCCTGACAACTCTGTCACTTTCGAGAATGTGATCTCAGCCAAATGCCTTCACTACAAAGCCTCAGTTACTTATAGATTAATGAGAAAATATAGATAAAGCAGGTGGAGGATTGCGGAGCCCTTAGCTATTAAAACCATCAGACTGTGAGTGCGGTTGCCATCCTCGTCATACCAGGAAGGTTCCGGACCCCTTCTCAAACCCTCCATCCTGGTCTCCTCCTCCAGGGAGTCCCTCCTCCTCCCCTGGCTTCCCCCGGGCTGGAGGAGGAGGCTGGGGCCTCGGGTGGTGGGCGGGGCCTCACCCCAGCCTCCGGAGCAGGCTGGCATAAGCCACGGAGCTAGGCTTGCACCTGCACCGGCCACCTTCCCACTGCCCCCTTCCAGCCCGGGCCTCCGTGCCATCCTAGCTCTCCCTTTCCGAAGCAGTCATGCCTGTGACAAAGAGTGCCGAGGGCTCCGGGGAAGCCACCACCCTCACTCTGGACCTTATGACGTCTCCCAAAAGTACCAAGAAACTGCAGATCAAGGCTTCCAGTTTCTTGGATGGGAGTGCTTCAGATTCCTCGGTTTTGGAGAAGACCAGGGGCATCACGTGAGTACCGATCCTGCCTCTCATCCCGGATGCTTGCTCGTTAGCCAGGAGGTAGAGGTGGCTGCATCTGCTCCTCCACCCACTGTGCGGATGGGGAAACCAAGGGGCCAAAGGTGCAGCCGAAGGCTGTGTTAAATGGCGGGACAAAGGGTCAGGGGAGGGAACCGAACAGCCCTTAGGGATGTACGAAGGGAAACTCAGGCCCAACTGCCAGGCCATACCCTGAGCGCCGAGGTCAGGAGCTGGAGTGAGGGCTGGCTTTGTTCCTGGCCAGTCGCATTAACCTGGAGGAGGGAGCAGCATCCCCGCTTTGTGGCCTCTCTGACAACCCAGCACTGCCCCCCACCCCCAGAGCTGCAGTGTGACCCCAGGAAGCACAGGGTGTGGTGGCTCTGCCTTCCCCACTCCCCAGGGCAGGAGTGCTGGGAGGATGCACAAGGCTTTCTGAGCATGACTGGGGAGGTCTGGCGACAAGATCCTCGTGCCCGACCCCCTGAAGAGCCGGTCCAGCTGGTTCCCTTAAGGAGAAGGGGCATTGGGCATGGAGGTGGAGAGGCTCTGCCGCTTTAAGCAGAATGTGCGGACACCCCCGGGGTGGTAGAAAGAGCCCTGGACGGAGCGTCAGAAGGTCCAAGTTCCAGCAGCGCGTCTTGTTGCTTCTCTGCTCCATTTGATGAATTAAAGACTGATATTCATGGGAACTAAGAGGGGGATGAGGGGCTGTGCAGCTGGGAGGGTTCTGATCGGATGCCCCTCTCCTAGCATCCTAATGGGCCACTCTGGGGTCACAGTGGCTGTTGCCCAGGGCTGGTGGAGGAGCAGCTAAGCATTGGTGATTTTGAGGGTGCCCTGTCACTGGGGCCTCTGCTGCACATGAGGTCTTTCTCAGAGGCCCTGGGGAAACTGACCAGCTCTGATGTCCTCAAAAGACACCTGGTTTTGGAACAATTTCAGCTTCTTAAGAATCAAAGGAATCACAAGTGGGAGCCAGAGGGGACCTTGTAGTTTGGTGGCTGGGTCAGTGTGACACCTATGGGCTCGATCCCTTGGTTCAAATGCCCAATAGCTGCTTACTGGCTTGATTGAGCAACTGACAGAACCGCTCTGTGACCTTGAAATGATAGTTCAGTCCTCCCGGGGTGGCCGCTCAGGTTCCTCGAACATAAAGGCCAGTGCAGTGCCTGCCCACACCGGTAATGATGATCCATGGTCACAGAAGGGATTCAGTCTACAGCCAGGGTCTGTTGGCTCCCAATTCAGGGCCTTGCATGACCAGATGTCGGTCGGATGGCCAGAAGCTAAATTCTGATTTCCTAAGTCCTTTTGTTAGAAATTTCCTAAGTGACCCATTCACCTTTTTCCAGTTGCAAAACAAGCCCATTACTGGGGGCCACAGGGTGTAGGCAGCACAGTGAGCAGTGTTGACACCCACAGCAAGGGGACAGGCTGTGGGACGCTCCACCCCCTTCTCCCTGGCTGTTCTCTTGTAACCCTTGTCGAGCTGGAGGACTGAAGGGCTTCACATGGGGATGGGGTGTTTGGGGCCCTTCTTTCCAAATCTCATTACTCCTAGCATCTGCTGAGGTTCACCAAAGCTGAGCAGGTCGCTCAAGATGACACAGCCAGTTAAGCGGTGGCTTTGAGTCTTAACCCCTGGTTGGTCCAGTTCCAAAGAACCAGCTCCTTCCAGAAGTCCTCTGCTGCTTTTCAGACTCTCTCCTAGCTAGAAGCCACCTCTGGGGGATTCCCAGTTCCTCCCAGCTGTGGGTGTAAACCCAGGGCTCCCCTTGGTGCAGCTTTGAGGAGGCACAGACATCAGCTTGCTTGAGATCCACCACAGAAGGAGATTTTCCCCAGCAGCTTTAGAGCCCGGTCCTGTGGGCCAAGCTTACCTGCAGTCTCAATGAAAGAGTGGACGTTTCCGTTTCTGTATGGGGTGGGGACTGCCATTCTACAGCCTCGGTGCCTGGTGCCCTGGCTGAGAGGGAAAAAAAAAACCCTAGCCCAATCTCCCAAAGACCGATGTCGTCGAACCTGTTCATCTAGAAGTCACAGTGCCTTGCAGTTCCAGCCTGCCCCTTTCCCTCTTCCCTATTTCTAACACCAGTTGTGGCCTTGACCTAGAAGGTGCTTCAGTTTCCTCTGTGATGAAACAGGGCTGTTCCTTACTCACCCTCCAGGTCTGAGGTTGCAGAAGGGAGCGCAGCATGCAGAGCAGGACTGGACCGCCCTGGTTCTGATCCTGGCTCCCAGTTATACCTGTGAACAAATCATCTTTGAAAAAAAAATATTTCTGCGCCTTACTTTCCCCACATGCAAAGAATTCCTAGTCTTGACAAGAAAAACAGACAATACATGCGCAGCACCTGGCAGAGGGTCTCATCTCGTGACACTATGAGGACAGGTACTGAGTGCTGGCTGCTGAAATGGGAGCGATTCTGGATCCTGCAGAGAAGCCCGGATGGTCCAGGGAGGGACTTGGGGGTGGAGAGGGGACCAGGAGTCTCGCTGCCCAGCCTAACCAGGGCCCGCCTGCTTCTGGATGCTGAACCCCTCACCTCCTGCGCCTGCACCTCACGTCACCGTCCTGTCCTGTAGAGCATTCCAGACCCTGGTTCATCTGGTGAAGGGCAACATGGGTACAGGGGTCCTGGGCCTCCCCTTGGCCGTGAAGAACGCAGGCATCCTGGTAAGAGGGCGGTCGCGGGTGGTGCTGTTTGGACTGTTGTGGGACAGAGGAGGTGGGCTCTGGACGCCCCGCAGTGGCAGCCTCTCTGGGGGGCTGCATGGCCTCGAAGCCCAGTCTGAGTTCTGGCTCTGCCACAGGCCTGCGTGGTCTTGGAAGCCACCTGGCCACTCTCAGGCCTGTTTCCTCCTCTGTCAAACACAAGGGCTGGGCTAGGGCCAGTTTTCCAGTGTCGCTCTGCAGGGCCTGGTCTCTTTGGGGACAGTCACCAAGGGTGTGTGTGGCCAGGATCCTGGGTTCCCCATCCCACAGGGCTCTGCTGGAATTGCTTTCTGCACTCTATTAGAAATCTACCTGAGATTATATTTGAAAGAATATCTCTTCCTGCTAAACATGGCTTGGAAACAGTTTGTTGCCAGTTGTTTGTCCCCAGCGGCCCCTGTGCGACCAAATCACTGCTCGTCATAAACCTGCTCTCTTCCCTCGCTCGGCCACCTCCCGCCCTCCAGGTCGGCCCGCTCAGCCTGCTGGTGATGGGTTTCGTCGCCTGCCACTGCATGCACATCCTAGTCAGGTGTGCCCAGCGCTTCTGCCACAGGTGAGGAGCACTGTGCCCTGGGCTGGCTCCAGGTACCGGCTCTCAGGGTGTCCCGGACACAGCCACACGTAGGGGTACAGCTGGGAGGCTGAGGAGGGAGGACCGCAGATTTGGACGGCACAGCCCGGGCAGCTTAGAGATTTAATGAGGACCAGGCTCAAAAGCAAAAAGGGTGGCGATACAACTCGGTGTGAAGCTCCTGAGTTCAATCCCTGATACAAAAAGAAAAAGTTACTTCTTAATTTCCCCAAGAAAGCCAAGAAAAGAAGAGCGTTCCAGGGTGGGGAGCTCAGCTCAGGCGGTCACCAGCTCCCCCGCGGCTCCCCTGCCCCGCCCTGAGCCGCCAGGGGTTTCTGTGGCACGGAACTGCCGCACCCTGGTGAGGCGCTTGCTGTCACTCTGCTGCGTAGCGACCGCCTCG